GGGAGAAGAAAAAAGAAAAAGAAAATGTATTGGTTGACGTTCGGGACCGCAACAGCTTAACTAACTTAAATTTGGCTTTTAATTTTGTTACCGTGGCAGTCAGTATAACAGACTCTTTGGTATAACTTACATTTTATAAACCTGAATCTGCCCAAAAAAGGGGTCAATTTGACTCCTTGAGTTTGTTATTTGAAATACGATTTAAAAGTTTATTTATAGGGCATCTATAAAGATAAATTTCGATTTCTACTACTAGATCTACATCAAAGACAGTCTTTGACTACTATGGCATGTGACCAAAGATCGTGTAGTAAACAATCTTTGATGTGACTACATGATGTGTGTACAGTGTATAGTAGACCCAGTCTTGGGTAGGCCTATTTTAGCGGTTGAGTTATGTTGCTCTCGGGGTGGACAGACTGGCAATTCAAGACCCAAAATATAATTGATTTTTGATTTTATCAAGTTTTGTTTGTTTGTTCATTTTTGTTCGTAAGTGATTGCACACAAAAGAAATAAATGACTATTTGATAACAATTATTTAAAATTTAAAAACCAACCCAGTATTTTATAGACCACATGACACTGACGTCATGGTCAGCTGATGTCAACAATCAACACCGAAGCGGAGGCAAAGACACGACCAAGGTGCCCTAGTTCTAATTATAGAAAGAGAAACTAGACTGAAAACAAACAGACGCTCATAGTCATAGTGGACGCTCGTGAGTTTATTTTTTTCTGGAAGTTCATTATTTGTAAGTAAGGATATCATTTGAGAACTGCAGCTATAAGATCTAGATCTTCATAGAGACGAAACGATGTTGACATAAGGTTTGCGTTACGCGTGAACTGATTTTTTTCCCACTTTCTTCTCCTCGGGCGGGGACCAGCAGTAAGCTGAGTCTCCTGCACCTGTAATCTGTAGTGTCTAGATCTGGTGATTGTCTGTATTTTATATAGATATATATCTAGATCTAGAATCTATGTGCTTCGTAAGTTACTCATTCTGGTGAACCCTGGAATCTAGATTCTCTATGACAAAAGAATTTTCCTCTGTCCTGGTTTCCTTTCCAGCTCCAAGTCCAAGTCCAATGCCAATAGGATATATATAGATATAGGTCTAGGTGCTGTGCATCTGGCAAGCATCATTTCCCCCCTTCTCTATCCTGAAGCCGAGTCAATGATTTGACAACACAACCACACACATACTCACACATATTCGGCAGTCACCTTTTGTCTGTGTCAGAAGCAGTCGACCTATCAGGTGCGCGCAGTTTCCAGAAACACCGGCTTGTTGGCTTGTTTCAGCAGAGAAGCTTCATCTACATTCTGGTCGCTCGTCCACATTCTGATCGCTCGCATGCGGCAGTGTCATGCTTTGATTTTATCCCAGCAGTGAGATTACCCCTTATCCTTCTTTAACACCAGTAAACATGAACTGTTAGTCTTTTTTACAAAAAATTAACTTTATATCAAAATAATTTAAAACTATCGGAAAGAGTGCAAGCAGCTGCTGCAGCGTCCAGACTCTTTTTCCCTGCTTTCACAAAATTTGCTAGACTTTCACTCACCATCCTTCTTACTTCCGTGCCTTCTGAGCGTGGTTTTTCAGCTTAGAATCGTGTTCATACAGCACTCTGCAGTTCACTGACCACAAAGGCTGTTAACAACAAACCGATCATTTGGCATGAAAGCAAGCATCATGAGCCATTTTCATTTGATGAAAAGGAAGTGGTTATCCAGGAGGCTTGTGAGATTTTCAAAGAGCAAAAAAAGTCGAAAGTCTGGAAAGATTGAAATTAATGTGAACCCTGGGGTGGCTCTGAAGAATAATGAATCAGCTTGTTTTCTTTGTGCATTACAGTTGGAACTGACCCCTTTTGGTTTGCCAATTTTATTTTATTTTTGATGGCCCAACAGCCACCTCCTCCCCCCCTCCACCCCCTTCCAAGTGGACACAATTCTAATTCTAGTCAATATTACTCATTTATTTCTTGTTCTTACAATGAAACTTAACTGTTAATTAAAAATCGTCAGCATGCAATCATAGTCATGGTCACTCTGTGTGTGAATGTGCATGTGAGTTAAATGTATGTATGCAGAAATTATTTCTATAAAATTAGGAGACTTTTGAGGATTAGTTTGTTAGACATGAACATAAAAAACCAACAACCCATTGAGTAAAACAAGGATTTAAATACTCCTTGAAAATAGAAGACCGAAGAGTGAAGGAACTTCTTAATTTGGCCTGAAAAAGGGAGCCCTGACCAAAAACAAACAGCAATTATTCTCATTTATATTTATTCAGTTGAGTACCTTTAATAACAGCAACAGAGACTACAGTCCTACAGTCATGTATGGTAATGGTTATAAGCTAAAATTTTGCACGAGACACACCTTACATCTTGGGGCTTTCGTGCTCCAGTGATGGTGATTGCCTATATCATTCAACAAGTACCAGGTTCGAAATCTGACAGCGACAAAACATTTTATTTTCTGAAATTTTCTACTTTCACCTCCTTTCCTGTTCTCTAGTTATGTACTTTCTCCTGCTTTCATCTCCTCTTTCTGCCCCCCACTCTTTCTACTGCTACTATTATTGCTTTCTTTCAGACACACCCCTGATCTTAGGGCGGGTAAGATCAAACACCAGGCCTTCTTGGATAAGGGAGAAAAAAATCTCGGAGGTCCTGTGTGCAAGTTGCTCACATTAAAGATCCGCTGGCGGTTCTTAAATTGATAGGGAGCTTCGGCCACCACTCCTGCAAAATTGACAATTAATTCAGGACTGCCAAAACTGAAAATACTCATCATAGCAACATGTAGAGTAATCTCTGAAATCAAAGTGTGGCTGCCTGACCTGAAGGTAAGGGGCTCGAGAAAGTGAGAAAAGCAGTCACATACACGTAAAAATCATTTGCACTGCAGGTTGAAGAACCAGTAGCAGACTACCCTGAAATCTAGCAGAGAAGAAAAAAAAATGTGAGGCATTGTGGTGAAATCGGGCGCTGTTCAAAATAATGGAAGAAACAGGCATTTTTCCGCCAGTTTTTTCTCAGATTTTTGTTTTTTCGCTCAGCACCTTTTATGCACATATATAATAACATATTTCCATGTGGATTTTACTGAAAAGCGTTGATTTAAGGGGCAAAATCAGGGATTTTTCCGTTTTCAAGGACTCTCAAGCTATTGAAATTACCAAACTTTGATGGCCATTTTCTCACTAATTTTAACAATGAAACCAGGCGAATCTATCTCCTTCAATCGCTGATATCTTGACTTCTTATCTATTTAAGATAGATGAGTAGGCTATCAAGCAAGGCAAATAAATAAAAGCTATCAACTGATACCAGAAAGTCCACATGCCCAAAAATTGACGAGCGCCTGATTTCATCATGTCATGACAAATAGTAATAGTAAGACAAACTCTTGTAATTACACCTTCTTTGAATCCAAACATACTGACGATGTTTCTCCTGTGGAGCATGCATTATATTTTAAAAATCAACATCAGAAGGGAAGGACATAGTACTTGGACATTCTTTTTCCTCGACTGCCAAGGCAAAGTTGTATCATGCATACTGCTTTAACTCTATCCGTACACCCTGGTGTCATTTTGTACCCCCGGGGTCGTATTCTTCTCATTTTAGAATACTTCTAGTAGAAGATGTCTTCGATACTTTCAGTATTTCTCAAAAATCATTTTGACAGACTGCTATGCAAAGCTTACTGATCGGATTAACAGGTAAATTTCCTCTTTGAAAGTGGTGGCACAGAGTTCCCCACGTTCGTATGGATAAGACAGTAAAACACGACGTACCGATAGGGTTAAGATTGTCTGTCAAGATGTAAAAAAAGCCCATCAAACAAAAATTTTGCAATGGACACAAAAAGTGTTAGCTCAACCTACATTGATACTTTTGTCCATGATATTAGTAAAATAGTGTGTTATAGTTAATTGGACTCTTTTACTTTTAGACATAATATATCATCCAGGAATGAAAACTGGATACTTCACAGGCATATGATATACCTCCAAACTTTTTCTTCAGAAAACTTTCATCATTTTTGAACAGCAAATCATATCATAGCTTCCACTGGTCTTATGTTTCATAGCCTAAATTATTATTTCCTTTTATTTTATAATTTGTTGGGAGGTCCTGTTCCTGCCTTATTTTTAAAATTAGCTTTATTAGTAAAATCTGAATTAAATACAGTGCAGTTTTGGTGATATTATTTTTTATTATGCTGTCATGAACAATCCTAGAAATGGGATTATATATTTGGGGCTGAGGAAAGTAAAAGAAAAGTGCTTGAATTGAATTTTATGGTACAAAGCATATATATATGCATTAGTTTGCCATTCTACATTCTCTTACTAGAGTTGAGATGTGGAAACTGATGAGTTTTATTCCTGTATGGAGAGAATTTCTGTTGAGTATGTTTGCATCTCCGTCTGTCTTTTTCTTGGGACATTGTATCCCTCCCAACCTAGGTTGGAAGTAGCCTGCATGCTCCTACAGTTATTTATATATATATGGAGTGCAGAGGGCAGTTGATTTTCTTGTATGTGGTGGTCAGGTTAGGGTTAAGAACTTGTTTCACACTAAATTTCAAATCATCACACATATATTACAAGTGATACAGAGAAAAGAAGAGAAATGAAAAGAATCAGAGATAAGTTCAGAAAGTATCTTTTAAAGAAATACAAAAAAACGAGGGTTTTTTTCATTTTTATGCTCCAATAAAGTAAAGTTAAGGAGTATATTTTTTATGGTGTATATTTTTGACAATGTACAATAAAAATTTAACACTGGCATCATTTTTTACCATCTACTTTACATTGTTTTTTTTTCCCTAGCTTGCTGATGCTGAAAGTGAATATTTATGGTGAAAGAAAAGTGATTTTATCCATGCTGAAATTCTGATACTATTTTCAGGTATGGTATGATGTTAGAAATGGTTTGTCGAAAAGTTGAGTTTAACTGTTGTATTATTAAATGAGATAATTATTGTTAGGTGAAATAAAACCTGTCTTTATCAAATTTTGTGTAATGAAATATTTCAGTTCTCATTTACTCATTCTTCTTTTCTTTTTTTGTTTGTTTTTTATTCAAAATTTGAAAAGTGACTTACTATACAATGTTAAAATTCCGAGTTTGCTCTCTGCAACATGTCATTTTCCTATTATGCCCACCCATCTATACGCATTCACTTATGGTGCATTTTTTGTTTTTATTGGGACTCGGATTCAAGGAAGTCGTCGGGCCCGACTTTCAATTTCGTTAAATCCAAATGTTCATTATATAGCAAATTAGGTTTTTGTTCAGATAATTGCAGGCACAGAGCAAGTAATGTATAATGTATTTGACTTTCTCAATCAAAAGTAGTTTGGTTTCAAATGAGAGGCATTTTCGTCTCTTTGATGCCATACCGAAGAAATGATGGACCATTCCAGGAAAACACTGTGAACTCTATCAAGCACACACTGTGGGAAAGGGCAGATTCATTCCATTCAAATGCACGCCTATGTCATCTATCTATCATCTAAATGTTATAATGTACTGTTTGCCGATCAAATGATGTTGCTGTGTTTTGCCTAGCATGTGGCAACATTTGATTCCACTGCTCAGCATGCAATTCATTACGTAGATTTATGTCAAGACTAGCTTGTCATTGTAACGTTGGTCAGTAGCGGAGGGGGAAAAAAACTGATGCGCTTGTAATTTTACTGACGCTCCAAGCCCGGACCGCTTGTGCCCCATCCCCCCCCCCCCCCCAGACACAGGTACACAGTCACATTCACATGTGTGCTGGCTGCCGGGCCGACCCCGAGAAACTTTAAACATAATTCAAAACGGGGGAGGGGGGGGGGGAATTGAAGTAGAAAAAGATTCAAGTAACAAATGATTGGAACAAACACATTTTGAACAATTCTTCAGCCTGCAACTTGATGGCTGGAGCGAAATGGTGCGCAAAATAGGAAAAAGGACACGTCACAGAGAACAACCCGGAAATGGACACGCTACTGAGGACAAACATGCTACGAAGTCATATATATTATATATATTGTATAAAGAGATAAATGAAAGATTTACATTGAAGAAAATTTGAGCATTTTCATTTTATATAATGATTTGGCTTTTTTATTGTGCTAGTTTCACCCTTTTTTATATGAAAATAAGGAATGCTGTATGGGCTATATTTAATGTTCTTTGAAGTTGCCCATCATCCATGTGTTGTCAGAGTATTTACCTCATTTACTTTTCATTTCAGTATGCAGGCGTCAAAGATCTTGAATTTGTTGCTGAATGTATCTTCAAAGGCCTCTAAGATTGCTTCCATCATCCGCAGTGAAAAACCTTTGGTTGAACTTTTGGTTGAAGAAAAACAAGGAATTGAAAAGAATGACAGATTTGTCCAAGACTTTAAAACCCTTGCTGATGTTTTAATTCAAGAGACTGTTCGACACTATGTCTCTGTAGAGGTACTTTCCAATCATTCTTATTTATTTTAGTTTTCTTTATTATCAGATAGAATAAGAAACAATGCTGCCCATTACTTTATATTGCTTATTTGTTGTTACCATTTTTTTAAACTCTAATTTTTCTTTTTGTTACAATGATAATTTAAAAAACTACAACTGTAATTGTAGGAAAATGATTGCAACAGAGGATACAGTACTTTAACTGAAGTTAGTGTTTGATGTTTTCTGTTTAGTTAGGTCTAAGTAGAACTGTTTCTTCTATTATATACGTGTTCTAAAAGTATCATGAAATACTGAAAGGATGTTACCAAGACAAGAGCAAATCATTAGTGGATATCTCCTACTTGTTTTCTATTACCCATTTATAGTCTTTCTTAATGATAAGATTGAGCCGTTCTCAACAACCTACATTTTCAAGCAGTGTACACTTGTTCTTTTCTTATTTAAATGCTATCTATACTAATAAGTGGTTTAAAAAACCCAACTAATGTTCATTTTGAGAAGAGAATCAGGTAGAACATATTGTATAGGGGAGTTGATCATAAATTAAACTCCTCTTACATTCTTCTGGGAGTTCCACGCTTGTCACAAATGGCATACTTGTTACTTTTTTCGATGAAAGAAAACATGTTATTTTGAAACACAGCAGAGTATTGGATCTTGTGATCAACATTTAAAAAATTCTAAATGTTAGCTTTAAAAAAGCTGTGGGAATTGACATACCTAATGACTGGAGTAGAATATTCATTTGAACCACTTCTACTTAATGGAAGTATATTAAAGTAAGGACAGGAATGTTTTCCTTTTGGTACGGACATTTTTCTTCTTTTGAGCAAATTGGGAATATCTAAAAGGTTTTTGTATTTTTATAACTGAGCTTTGATGAAGACACCCACTTTGCTATGATGCGAAAATAAATGTAATAAGCACTACACTTTCCTTCCAAATTTATTTTGCAATAAATTGTGCATACTTTATATTTTCCTTGTTTGAAAAGTCTGATTTCAAACAAATTTTTAATTTGTGTTTTTACCACAAATGGGGGAAAAGATGTAGTCCAGCTGTGCTCACCTTTAGAAAAAATGGCTGATATACAAATTTTATTGCAGTGATGTTTTCTTTTTCGTTAACGTTTTTTCTTTTTCTGTTCAGTGTTATGCCATAGTTCTGAGAATACTTTTCTACATACTTTCTTGAGTCAACAGGTCTCCTACTTTTTCTATCTGTTGGACAGACAAAATTTCCCTGAATTTGATTCATAGTTAGACAGTTTTTTTCTTAGCATCATTTTTTTGTCTTGAATAATAAAAGATTTGAGGCGATTGACTGATAGCTTCAGGGTAAGTTAAGATCTGAGTATGTTTTGTCCATTTTTTTTTGTGGTACACATTTTATCAAATGCTTTTTTAGTTTATTTTTACTACACTATTTATTTATTTTTTTCAGATTCCTGATATTGGAGCCAGCATTTATGGAGAAGAGAGCAATAAATTCACGAATGTGCAAGGAGAGACGATCACCGTTAAAATTTGCAGCTCTTGTGATGAAACAGAAAAGCTACTTGGTAAAAAAAAAAAGACTGCGTAATTTTTAGCTGTATGGCTATCAAATTGTATTTGAAGAAGGCTGGCAGCTTTATGGCCTGATTGCACTTTCCAAGACTGATCTTGTTTTTTGTTTGTTTTTCTTTCCTGTTTAGTGGAATAAAGCTAACGTCTTTTCAGCAATGTCTTCCCACACTATGTCCTCTTGTAGTGAAAGCTTTGCATAGACTACTTTGTTTAAGTCAAATACTCAGTTCTGGAGATCTTTTGCTTAACAAAAATGGTCTCATGTGTTATTATTATTTTTACTCAAGCTATCCTATACTTGACAATCCTTGAGGTCTTATAGTGATGTGGAGAAGAAAAAAAAAAAGAATATTCAAACAAATAATAGTATCAACAAGTTTCAGAAACGTTTACGCCCGTACATGATTATGTCGTCACTAGCTAAATTTGTTATGTTATAAAACAAATCAAGCTTCGTCAAAATGATGACATCGAAGAAACCAACATTTTTTCCGCCCATTGGGCAATTTTATTGATTTTGTTTTGTTTGGTGCTCGACACCTTTTTATGTCCATTTAAATACATATTCCTGCGGGGATTGAACTGAAAAACTTTGATAAAAGGTGCTAAAAGTATAAATTTGCTGTTTTCAAGAATACTTCAGCTTTGGTACACAGTAAAATTTGGTGGCCATTTTCTCGTATATATTTCCTCTGACACCAGGATTTCCCCCCCCCCCTCCCCCAGCTCCTTCACTTGCATATATCATCTTGACTTGTTTTAAAAAGAAGGGCAAATGATCAATCATTATATCAATATCTCAATACACTCAAAAATTGATGTACACCATGGTCCCCCATGTCATGACACATACTTTTTCTTCTCTGGTTTGTGTTTATAAGTATTGAAAAAATAAGTCATTTAAAAGTCTCTTTTTTTCAGTGACAGTCTTGAATGGAAATGCAGAAGCTGCAGCATTGTTGGCTACGGCAGTCCATAGTGAAGCCACAAGCCTTACTGTTCAAACAGAGGATGTACCTGTCATTATTCCCATTGAAGACTGTGGGATTTGGATAGATCCTATAGGTGAGCTTTTATAAAGCAATTCATCTTATGCATTACTAGCTGGGCCCCCTTTTGATGAAAGGAATGATCGGTGCCTTAAAATGAACTGAAAGTCATTGGCCTACTATATTTACACTCTACTGGAATGGATCAATAAATCTTGAGAGATGCAAAAAATTAGAAGGTCTAGATATATACTCCCAAAACAAAATGCGCCTCGCTAAATATTACTTCTGGCACTTCCGTTGTGTAGGACAGCTACGCAGATTCATTTCGTTTCTCAGTGGAATAATCACAACGGCCAAATAAGGACGGGAACTTTTTGTCAAATATATTTTTCTAAATTCAGGAAGTGAATAAATCCAAAATCGGTCTCTGTCATGGGGACCTATCTGTCTTTTTGCAGGTACTTGCCAACTTTTAACTCTGTAGCTGTCGTAGTTTCATGGGAAAAGTGATACATGTGTTTCCAAGTTGCCAAATATATATAATAGATGTATAGGTTGATTCTCTGTTCCGCTTTCGTGGTGGTACACTCAAGAAATTCAAAGGTGTGAAAACAGTACGCACGGCTAGTGAACGGAAACCTCAATTTTTACATGGCATCTTAGAACACGGACCTACTTTCCCTAGAATAGATTGAAACGAAACTAATGAAAAACTGAAAATTAAATTACTGTGACTTCAGTCTCCTCAATAAAACTGTGCACCCTTTAAATGATTTTGAACCACTACTATTTTTTTCAAATTCGAAATTTAAGTGGTTGGGAAGTTTTAGGCGGCCAAGTGAAGGACTTTCACAAATTTAATATGTATATATAGATAGAGATAGAGATAGCTGGGTTTCCAGTTTGATGAACGGACTCAAAAGAATCGATCGTCAAGTCATTGTGGGATCAGTACAGGCACTCTTTGTGAACGGAAGCCTCACTTGTTTACAATGTCATCTTAGAAGATGGGCTTTCCCTAGATTAGATCTAAACAAAACTAATGAAAAACTGAAAATTAAACTAGTGACTTCAGATTCCCCAGTAAAACTGCACCCTTCAAATGATTCTGAACCACCGTTAATTTTTTCAAGTTCGAAAGTTAAGTGGTTCCAAAGTTTTAGGCGGCCAAAGTGACGGACTTTCACAAATATAATATGTATAGATTATTTGATTTTATTTCTAGCCTATAAACAGTCTTAATTATTTGTTGCATATATATACTGAGGTGCAAAAAAACCGCGAATTTTTATTACAACACAATGATTGACAAAATGCAACACATAGGTTTTAAGTTATTTGTTGTGTTTATTAACAGAAACTTTGCACACTTCTTGAGTGACATAGCTGACATGAACTGAGGGTCCAACACATTCATCTGAGCTCATGTTGACCTTGACCTTGTTGAGCAAACTTAGTAACGCGTATGACCTCCTTGTGCAGCGATTACAGCAAGGCATCTTCTGTTCATAGAGTTAATCAAACGGTTGATCTGGCCATTTTGGATGCCACCGAAGATCTGGATGCTGGCTGCAGTCAACTGGGCTGCTGTTCGAGGCCGTGGCTGCATCTGGTTAAGCAGTCTTTGAATCACGTCCCACAAATGTTCAATAGAGGTCAAGTCAGGTGAGCGAGGTGAATGTGCCAATAAACTGACATTGTTCTGCATCAAGAAGTTCTAGGTAGCATGTGTGATATGTGGTCATGCGTTGTGTTGTTGGTACAGGAAGTTATGATGCCTCTGTAGAAAGGGCACCACATGAGGTGCCAAGATTTGTGCAATGTAGCGCTGAGCCGTGACACCGTTTCCACATCCTGGACCAATGTTCTGGAAGATGACAGGTCCCACTCTATGATTCAACGCCATGGCTCCGCATATCTTCACGCTCTCACCCCCCCAGGGGTCACGCTCCAGAATGTTGTTGTCGTCGTAGCGAGCCATGTCTCTACGCCACACACGGACATGGCCGTTCGCTGGATCAACACAGAACCTGCTTTCATCACCGAAGAGGACTCTCCTCCACTGTACGTTCCGCCAGTTGACATGTGCCCGCGCCCACTGTAGCCGTTGCTGTGGATGCCTTGGTGTTAGGACAGCTCCCTGGTAAGGACGCCTGCAGTGAAGACCAGCAGTCACTAACCTCAGTGACACAGTCCAGAGGCTAAGTTGGCGTCCAGTCATTCCCATGGTGGTTCTGGCAGTCTCTGCAGCCGGCAGAAACGGACCCCGGCGGGGCCGATGAACGATGACACGATCATGGGCTGGAGTTGTCACCCTTGGTCTTCCGCTTCTTGGTCGATCTGCTGTAGTCGCTGTCGCTTGTTATCGGTTCCGAGGGTGATAAATGGTGCTTGATAGGACACTCAAAACCTGGGACACCTGTTCCACCAACTAATGGGCTGCCAGTCGTCCGACAGCTCTTTCTCTGTTTTCCCTTGATAACCTTGGCATGTCTGTAGCTCGTCTGTTTCAATATGAATGCAACATTTCGAGGCGTGGATTTTATAGGCATACGCCCAGGACTGAGTGAGCATAAACTCACCCCTCACAAAAAGTTTCAAGTGTGTCCCAGTGGTGAGTGATGACTTGTGAGTTGTGTATTGCTTACGCAGCCAATGACATCTTTTTGCAACGCTCAGAAATGCCCAATCAAGACGCTTGAGGCAAGTGTTGAGTGATATGAGTTCATATCACACAACTATGAACTCAGCATTGGGCGATTACAACAACATTAAAAAATTGTTGGTTTTTTTGCACCTCGCTATATATTATGTAGACTATTACCAATGTCGTGAAAAGTGTTTGTAAAATTTATCTTGTCCAAGAAACTGAGAAAGCTATTTGTACAGTACCTTTACTATCCTTTTCACACACTGTAATTACATCAATGTTTTAATTCTGACAATCTGGATTTTCAAAGGTGATATAGGTAAATTATCGACTAGATAGAAGAATTATGACGGAATTTTTAAAGTTTTATTGAAAAGTTGGTCTCCGAGGCGGCCATGTTGGATTTTTTGCCATATTTGCGTGGACAAACGTTTTCCACAGAAATCACTTGAATTTAAGCCTCCAACTTGACACACAAATACACAAACCTATCTGTGATCCGATGTTAAGATTTTTTTCTATCTAGAAAAACAACAAAAATATTCATATATCACCGGACGGCTTCTGAAAAAAAGGAAAAAGTGACGCAAAATCTGGAATATTTTAAAAAGTAATCCATATTTCGCAAAATATTCACATCAGATAACAAAACAGACTACACAACACGTTTGTGCTAAATTTCAAGTTTGTAGCTCAGATAGGATTAAAACAACATCTGTCTCCGCGTAGTCACTATAGTGGAAAAGTAGTTTTTGAGAAAAACGCAAAAGAAAAACCCCACCGATTTGACAACTTCAAAGTTGGAAAACCATAGTTTTTAAAACAATAAATTTGATATTTTTAGAACGTTGGCCCCTCTCTGATATCTTAAATGGAATTAATCAGGTTATATGTTCATTTCCTCCCGAAGTAAGCCTTCAATGACAGGTGAACATGACTACATTCAGTAATTTTTAGTTAAGTTACTACCCTTGACCAGTCATGTACAAATCAGAACAATTGTTCAGTAACACACTCTGAGAATACATCAACACACACACACATGTGTACACACACTCCAACAGACAATCAAACAAAAAAACAAACAAACACAAATACGCACATACTCACTCACACACTTATGTGTGTGAATGAGTGCGTGTGTGTTTGTCACGCATCCCAACTCGGACGAAATCCAAACAAGTGCTCACATTTTAAGATCCGTCAAGGGCACAGTAAAATGATTTAGGAAAATGAGAACCATACTTGTGAATTTAGTTTGACAAAGTTACAGGAGACTTCCGCTATTTCTTACACAAGTTCTGGGCCGTCAAAGAATACCTTCATGTGGCGACAGTCATGAGAGACTCACTCCCTTGCTTGGCTTTGAAACATGATTTAGTATCTTTTGGTGCTGCCCTCGAAGAATTTAAGTGCTCCCCGTTTTGCCTCAGTTCACAATGGTTGGGAAAAGTCTGGACATACATCTGCCCAATGGTTGGAAGTCCAACGCGTTCAGGCTGGGATTGTATGAAGCTCAGACACAAGGTACACCGCAACTTCTGTTGAAGTGATTCTGGTTCCACTTGATGACTAGAGCTTACAGTGTGCTTCTTCTTGCTTGAACCATGGTCGTTTCCGCTCCTGAGGTCCCAAATAATCTTCCCAATGATCTTCAACACCGATCAAGAATCTTCAGATATCGATCTACTACCACTGTTGCTATACTATAGTCTTCAACTCTCTCTCTCTCTCTGTCTCTCTGTCTCTCTCTGTCTCTCTCTCTTTCTCTCTCTCTCTCTCTCTCTCTCTCTCTCTCTCTCTCTCTCTCTCTCTCTCTCTCTCCCCCCCCCTCCCCCGTTTCTCCCTCACTCCTTATTAAATAATGACACGCATCATGATAATTGAAAGGACAAACACTGGAAATAAACGTGAAATGAAATAAGACTATGAGAGTAAAAATAACTTCTTAGATTGTACAATACATGAAAAAAAAAAGGGAAACTTAGCTTAGATTTACCTGCTCTGTAGTCTACCCAAAAAAAAGGGGGATCAGAAACAGGATTATGTGTTGTCAAATACAATAGTGAATTAGACGGTTTCATTAGTGGCAGTAATGCAAACGGCTTTCTAATCGCAAGAAGAAACAACGGTGATCATAAAGTACTGTTGGAGACCATATACCGTACAGCATTGTACGACTGAGTGTTGATGTCATATATTATTTTTAGCAAGGGGGTTTCGGGTTTCGTTTTGTTCAAGACAACCCAAAATTTTAAAAGGGGGAGCCCTGTATCATGCGTATATGTGCTCAACTGCCAGAAATACACAGATCTTGATCGTCTTGAAAGAAGAAAAGCTTGGGAGCACAACAATACTAAACATGTCAGGGTGACATGGAGACACATGGTTGTTGTCACGTTTCAAGTATGGGCTAATAAGTACAAAACACAGTGACTTTTGAGAAGGGAGCCCACTGGAAAACGACTCTAATGGTGAATTCTTGTCTTTTTAAAAATGAAACATCAAGCGGTATTGACTCATTAGACATTCAGGTACCGAAAAATGGACACAGTTAAATATCAAATTTTTTTATCCAAACATCGTGTTTTGCAAACCTGTGACATGCCTTAACAGAAGTGTAGCTAGGACGGCTGTGAACTTATCTGAGTCAGTATGTATCTCATCTTTTTCAGATTCAACAGGTCAGTACATCAAAGGAAAGCTTGGAGAGGAGAATGAATATGGCATGTTTGAAGATGGACTGCAGTGTGTTGCTATACTGATAGGACTCTTTGAGAAATCTACAGGAAAGCCCATTCTTGGAGTTGTTGTTCAGCCTTTTGCCAAGTTTATCTCAGAAACAGAAAGGTATGAACTTGATTTGTGTTTTTTTAATTTACTATGTTGTATTATCTCCTCCTCCCCACTCCCCCCCCC